AGTGTGTAACACACCTGTGCTGCAGGGAGGGAGGGTGAGTGTGTAACACACCTGTGCTGCAGGCAGGCAGGGTGGGATCCCTCTGCACCCCAGCCCCTGCATGGAAATAATGAAACACTGCAGTTCATTAAGTTCTGAAGTGCTGCAGGTGGAACATGGACCTGTTCCCAGCTACCTCATCTCCCTGAGTGCAAACAGCTCACCCAGTGCTTTCAGTTTTCTTAAAAGCCTTTTACAGATCCTCTGTAGGGAAGTGGCTTTTTTCCAGCCTGACCCTCACCCTGGTGTCTCTCAACAAGATGTGTGAGGAAATGAGAGAAACAGGAGTTACTGAAACCCCAATACTGCAGACCTGGCAGTGTTTGTCACTAGTACCAAGTGCTAAGGCAGGAAGAAACCCTGCAGCTACTTTATGTTACAATGCAGTCCCAAAAATCCCATTTCTTCCCACCTCCCAAGACAGACACTGTGATCAGCCACACTCCCCTGCCTTCAGAAACAAAGTGAAATTCATGTATATTGTGTAACACAGTGTTCCTGCTACAAGTTAGGTTTTAATGCCTCATATTTTTAGATGTTGTCTTGTTACTTGATGAAGCTGCTGAAACAGTTTCTAGTCTGACATGAATTGTTGCTTTATGTATTTTAGCTGGTATTTAGGAAGAACAGTTACAGTGTTTTCACATAAACCCTTTTTTTTCTGCCCCTGGCAATTCTGACAGGATGTGGGGTTTGAGATGTGGTCTCAGCTTTCCAGCTGCCCCTGTGCACGTGCTCTGACATTTTCTGTGTTACTGTCATTTGTGTGCACTGTCATTTTTCCATTGCCCTCCCTTCTCAAAAAGCAGCTATGACCAATGAGGGCTGTTCAGTGAACTGTGCAGAGGAACATCTGTGTCTGTGCAAGGACAGAGGAGTGGGTTCAAAGCCTCATAATCTGCATTAATATCTCAGAGTATTCACTCAGAACACGTTAGCACTTTGCAGTCAAAACTCTGGTCTGGACATTGTTGGGTCTGTCTTACGCCTGTTTGTGAAATTCAGCTAAATTTTCTGAAATTTCTAGGTTCTGGAAGAACCTAGATAGGCCACTTAGCTACTTCAACTTTTAAAAATACTTATCTATACCACAGATGGACAAATGAAACTTTCCAAAAACCTTAATAAAATCAGGGCATATAATTGTACACATTTGGGGTTGGGTTTTTTTTGCCCAGTTTTGGGGTCTTTTTGAGCATTGCTTCTCTAGTTAATGTCAAAATAGCAGAAAGTTAGGAATATCCTGTCAGTACCAGAAAGAAGGGAGAAAAAAGGCAAACAGTATTTTAACAGTGTGTTATTAATGCAAGGAATGGAACTAGATTAAGTTATTGCTCTTTTTTAAAGTGGGAATCAGTGACTGGTTCCTAGGCAATGAGCAGGCAAACCTTTTGACTCATTCATGTAAGCATGAGGTGTCTCAGAACCTTGGGGATTAAATACAAAATGGTATTTAAGGAGACATGCAGAGTATTAGGGTTTGAAAACATGAGAGGGATTAATAGAACATTTCATTTAAAAGCACTCTTACCATGTTGGTGCTGTGTCTGAGGGTTTTCAAAGCCACTTCCTTGATCAGAAGTGTGTCCTGTTCTGGTGTGGTGAGAGTTGTTCTTGGCATGGGAAGCAAGGTGTTCAAGCTGCTTTTAGAATTCAGTCTTTTAACTTTTCATTTTGCCTTCTGAAGGGGCCAAAAGCCACCCAGGCACACCAGCAAAAGGTTGTACCCAAACCAATAAGAGGCAGAGAGGTGTTTTCATGGGAATGCTCATTAATCCTGCTCAGTTTAACCTCACATTCACTGATCTCATCACACTCAGCAGTTCCTGACAAGATGGGATGTGTCTCCTGCTTCTCAGGGTGTTGTCAGCCCTGGGTTAAGGATCTGCATGGTCACTGCCCCACAGCTTCTGTCTGACAGGAGGACGGGCAAGCAAAGCTCCCCTGCTCAGAGCTGCAGGGAGTGCAGGAATATCTGAGCTCAGGAGGGGTTTGGGAGCTGAGCTGGAGCAGCAGCACCGTGGGAAACCCAGAGAACATCATCATCCTCTTGTTTTAATTGCTGCTGGTACAGAGCCAAACCCCAGTGCTGGGTCACTGCATCTCTGCCACCAGCCAGGAAACCCAGAACCTCTGGGGTAAATTCTGCATATGACAGGAGACTTTTCTCTGATCTGCCTTGGAATATAGTATTTAATGTTGTGTTTAAGCAATGTTGTTAAAGTTATTTCCCAGTTTAAAATGTAAATTTTACCTTTTTCAGGAAATCCAGTAGAGGAGACTTCGTATTTTCTGCTGATCGTCTGGTAGGTGAAGAATTTCTTCTTCTTCTTGATATTGTACTGTAACTCTTCCATGAAATGAGTCTTTCAGGACAGAAGAATGGTAGTATGACAGCAGCTTTTCTACCCAAAGGAAATTGCTGTGTTACTGCAACTTTGTGTAGAGGGACTTCTGTTCACTGTTTCATCTCAACAGGTTCCAGAAACCACGGTGTTACCTGAGGACAGAGACCTGCAGTAATAAGGAAATTCTGTTCAAAAACAGATACACAGAGGCTGCAGATAATTGAGTTTTAGTTTGAAGCAGCACTTTTGATCTTGTGAACAAAGCAGTACAATTTCTTACAGCCTGGATGTTACCAGTGGCTTGCATGCAGCAGTGCCTCCTGGCACTTGGTGTGTATTAGATTATCAGCTCTGGGTGCATCCACATGGAGAATTTTTCTTTAGCCATATGGTGGTTACTGGCAGGGACAAAGCAGTTTGAAGTTTTCACATGTTGAACTAAATCAGAACAAAGACTGCTGGGAGTGTAGCCTTTATCTCATTTAAATTACAAGCTTAAAGAAAACCCCAGCACTTGCTACTACACACACTTGCTTGTGTCCACAAGGGTGTTTGCTTTTTGCAAATCCACTCTCATTAACAGAGGGGGTGTTCTTCCCCTTCCAGCACAGTCAGAGACCATTCACAGTTAGAGCACAGCAGGCAGCTCTCCTGTGCTGAGCCCAGGCTTAATCCAGGCTTGCTCAGCTTTAGATATGACCACAAAGATTGTGTCTGCAGTGCTGTTTATCTTCATGGCTTTCCACTTTCCCCTACTTTCCCCTTCTTGAGGCTGTTTCCTGCATTCCAGTGCCTTACTGTCAGTGTGAAGGACCTTTCTCCATGTACCTTCTCACCTTTCTTGGGTGTCCTGCCCTGTTCTGGGGCAAACACTGATATTTTTTCCCCTCTGTCATTGCTGGAAGCTGCAGATGCAGCAGTGAGTTCAGGTCCTTGCAGCAGTGTCCTCTGTGGGTGGCCAGCACAGCCAGGGAGCCTCTGTGTGCTGCAGCTCCTTGCCACAGAGCCTGCTGCTCTGCTCTCCATCTCGTGGGAGGAATTTTGCACAAAAGAATATGTAGCACTCTCATTTTCTGAATATTTTTCCTAGGTGTGACAAAGAACAGTTATAATTTTGTGTGGAGCTTGCTCTCTACTAAACTTGGCAAGGTGCAAACAGTTATGACTTGCCTTGTTTTCCACCCAGAGAGCAAACAGAGTTTAATGGCAAGAGGCAATGCCTGAAGAAGTTAGTGTGGGATTATAGGGGAAGTTAGTGTGGGATTATAGGGGAAGTTAGTGTGGGATTATAGGTGAAGAAAATACACCTTGTTGCAGTGAGGAAATGAGAATGAAGTTAAACTTGGGAAGGAGAATGAGGAGAATGAAGTTAAATTGTTAGGGGCAGTGTCTCCTGAGGTCACCAGAGGGAGAAGCCTTAAGGAGGGATTCTAAGGGTGATGAATTTCTGGGGGTGCAGTTTTTTCTGGCAGTTTGTTTCACACAAAAAGGGATGACACAAAAGAAATATTTGAAGATTCTTGTGAGAAGAAGGAGTTAGTGGGCAGTGGAGGTTGGCAGGGAGTGTCTGAATTCCACTGCCAGGGCTGTGATCCTGAAGCTGAAGGAAGTGAGGTTCAAGTCATGAGGAGGAGTCATTTCAAGATTGTTTGAAATGCTGAGTGCAAAGAGCTGTACAGATGCAGAGGATGTTCTGCCTCCTCTTGAGCTTCCAAGAAAAGCCACACATAATGGGTTAGAGGATTTTCTACCTTGGGACCAAAGCTTTACTTCCTGTTTCATGAGGGGCTGTCATAACACTGGTTTTATCTTCTAAGCAATGGCAGCCACCCTTTGGGAGAGGAGCAGCTGCTTCTTGGGGCATGAGAGAAAAGAGGAGGAAGTTAATCCCTGACTGTGGAGGTGGCAGGAAGCACAGTGCAAAAAGAAATGTTTTATCAACACTGACAAGTTTACAAAGAATCCTTCCAGCCTCTGTGTAACACACTGATAAGTGTAGGGAGATCAGAGATTATTTGACCATAAGACCTTTATGGATTACTCCAAACTTTTGGCAGATTATGTGGAGCAATGTCAGCACTACAGCAAGATGAAAAAGGCTTTTCTTCCAAACCTGGCAAATAGGTTGGCTTTTTTTTTTTTTTTTTTTAGTGAATTAAGTTCAAAAACATAAAATAAAATTTGGTACAAATGTCCCAGAAACTGATCACAGTCTCTGAGTATGGCTGCCACAAACACAGCTCTAGGAAGAAAAAGTTGTATTAAAATGACTAAAAATACCTTGAAAGAGAGATTACAAATGTAAGGGACCATTTCTAGCAGAGGCTGCTTGTGTGCCAGGAGCTGGGGCAGAATGGAAGGACAGGAAAACCTTCCAGGCTGCCCTCTGCAATCAGAACTGCCTGAGGGGAGCAGTACACCTGCTCCATCCAGGAGCATTGCCTCACTCTCCATCCCACAGTGAATTTTGAATAATCAGTGAGTTTTTCATAAAGCTCTTGCTTGGCAGTAGCTTTGCTTGAGCAGTTCTGGCTGTGAATCTTTGGCTCATGAACAGAGAGAATTCTCACATCTTCAATCCCCAGAGCACCCTCTGGGTCACTCATTCTGGCTGCAGGTGGATGTTTGGGGCTTGGCAGGGCAGCACCAGGGGAGGGCTGGGGGCTCATGAGCTGCCCCTCCACCAGCACCACGTGGAAACCAGGGCTGGGAGATGGAGGTGATAAGGAGATTCTGGCTTGTCTTTGGGCACTGCTGGTGTGTGTGCATTGCTGCAGCTTCTGGGGCTGTTCTGGCAGCCCAGCTGCAGTTTAGTCCTACAAACAGGGATGTGGAAATAGAGCCTGGCTGAGGGGGAGCTTCACCTTTCCCTCACCAGGATTTCCTATCAGCAAAGGGAGTTACATTGGTGCCTCACTCATCTGTTGAGAATAATTTGTCTGTGAAGCCTCTGCCTACCAGATGTAAA